AGCTGACAGATGGACATTAGGAGATCCCTGGACCTGAGGCTATCAGGCAGGAGAACCCAGAATTGCTTCGCAGACCACAAGGCCCTGTAAGGCCACAGTCAGGACCCCTTACAGGCACCTTTTCCTGATGCACTAGATGCCCCCACGGCCCCTCACTAGACCAGGGGCACCTAGCATGTGGGAGCCTATGGAATTAAGAAGGAGCTCCCATCTTCAGGCCAGAGTCCCTGAAGTTCTCCACAAGCATATGGAGCCTGGAGGCGATAGCTTGGAGGCAGGAGCTTGAAAGATCTCATTCTGTGGTCCACCTCTCTTGGGGAGTCTTGAGTCATTTACTTGGAGCCATCCATGGCATTGTTTCAGATCAAAATATGGCAGCACTCTTGCTCTCTCTCCTTCTGTGGCTTCTAGCAACTGGGGCCCAGAAGCATGCTGCCTTCAACCATAAAGGTAGAACATTGCCATCAGGACTAGTAGCCATTGATAGACTTCTCCTCCATGAATTTGACCAATCATCTTTTAAAGCCATCCAAATTGGTGGCCAACTTTGGTCTCCTATGAGAGCGAGTTCCATTAACTATGTATGTTCTGCATGGAAGTCCTTTATTTTATCTGTCCTGGTTCTTCCAACATTCAGCTCCATGGCATGCCCACCAGTTTGAGGGTTATCAGAGAGGGAGAAACATGTTTCTGTGTCTTCTTACACGATACCATGCATCATTTTTTCCACCTATATCATGCTGCCTCTTACTCTCTTTAAGTCCAGCATACGGTTCTCACACTGGCCAGCCATATTCCCCAACGGGAAACCTGGAAGCAGGACCCAAGGACGAGAGAGAAAGAGATCCCTCCAATCCACTTTCTCCAGGCCAGGCATAATGTTCTAATTTTATAGCATGCAGCTTCTTCCTCACCTTTTCTCGCAACTAAAAAGCCCCAGACACTGTAGCCTTTTCATAGGAGAGCGGCTCCATCCCCATCGATCATTTTGGTCGCCCTTCTTCTGAACCTTATCCAGGAGGTCCCAGGAAGGTGGTGGCTGGGCTTTGGCCATGGCGTGGCTATTGTTAGGACAGCGTGAATGATCCTGTTCCAGCTGGCAGGGGTCACAGGAGGAGTAATGCCGGCCACCGAGCCTGGAGGTTGCGCAACCTCCCTTTGATTCAATTGTCCTTTGGGCTAATGAAAGCAATTGGCTGCAGTGGGTCCCCTATCCAGCACAAGATGTGGAAATGAGCGTCACATTTTCCTGTGCTAGGAAACAATTAGCACATTAGGGAGAGGTTGTATAATTGTTTTTCTTTCTCTCCCCCCCTCACCTCCCTCTTTTGCAAGCTACTTTGGCCGGCTCTGGAGGTTCTGCAATGCAGTCATTTCCTACGGAGGGCTTCTCCAGATGCCCAGGGATCTGATGGGCATGTGCTGCCAACAGGCACACAGGAAGGATGTCTGCTGTAGGCTGGGAGGGCAAGCACCTGGCACCATCACCTTCCCTTTGCGTGACCTTTTAGGGCCCCTTTCTCTTCTCCGCGCTTAGAAAACAAAATGAGTTGGGATCCTAAATCTGGAACCTGAATATAGATTTATTTCTAATGCAGCTTTTCATCCATGCGCAGAACGACAACATTCGCGTAGCGCCGTCGGTGCATCACACGACAATGGGGCAGTTCGTTGTGGAAAAGCCAACAAGAGATCCTGGCGCACTTTAATCATCACCAGGAGTTTCATGCTGAAGTCTCCCTTGGAAACTTTTTGTTGGTCAAGACACTGAGGTCCAGCTCTGAGGGCCTCTTGGTGGTTCCCTCACCTTGAGAAGTGCAGTTACAGGGAACCAGGCAGAGGGCCTTCTCGGTAGTGGCGCCCACCCTGTGGAACACCCTCCCACCAGATGTCAAGGAAATAAACAATTATCTGACTTTTGGAAGACACCTGAAGGCAGCCCTGTTCAGAGACGTTTTTAAGGTTTAATGTTTTATTATGTTTTTATATATGCTGGAAGCCGCCCAAAGTGGCTGGGGCAACCCAGTCAAGATGGGTGGGGTACAAATAATAATATATAGCAACAATAATAATTTTTTATTTATACCCTGCCCATCTGGCTGGGTTTCCTCAGCCACTCTGGGCGGCTCCCAACAGAATCATCATCATCATCGTCATCGTCATCATCATCATCATTATCGTCGTCGTCATCAAGCAACAAAACATCAATCATTAAAAACTTCCCTAAACAGGGCTGCTTTCAGATGTCTTCAAAAAGGCAAATAGTTTTTTATTCCCTTTACATCTGATGGGAGGGCGTTCCACAGGGCAGGTGCCACCACCAAGAATGCCCTCTGCCTGGTTCCCTGTAACCTCACTTCTCGCAGTGAGGGAACTGCCAGAAGGCCCTCGGAGGTGGACCTCTGTGTCCGGGCTGAACGATGGGGGTGCAGACCCTCCTTCAGATATACTGGACCGAGGCCGTTTAGGGCTTTAAAGGTCAGCACCAACACTTTGAATTGTGCTCAGAAACGTACTGGGAGCCAATGTTGGTCTTTCAGGACTGGTGTTATATGGTCTCGGCGGCCACTCCCAGTCACCAGTCTAGCTCCTGCATTCTGGATTCGTTGTAGTTAATAAAAGTAATAATAATAATAATAATAATAATAATAATAATAATAATAATAATAATATCATCATCATCAACAACAGCAAACTGCAATACAACTGGTATTCAGTATGACCTGGTATGAGTAACAACAACAACAACAACATAAAAAGGAGTAAAAATCAGACAACATAATTACTGTATTTTTCGCTCTATAAGACGCACCAGACCACAAGACACACCTAGTTTTTGGAGGAGGAAAACAAGAAAAAATATATTCTGAATCTCAGAAGCCAGAACAGCAAGAGGGATCACTGCGCAGTGAAAGCAGCAATCCCTCTTGCTGTTCTGGCTTCTGGGATAGCTGCGCAGCCTGCATTCGCTCCATAAGACACACCAACCCTTGTGAATCATTCACACTTGCTACAGCTCTCCCCATGATGATGGGTACCTACTGTAGAATCTCCAGCTTCTGATTATATAATGTTTTTTGTTGGGGAGTGATGGGGGGGGGCAAGAGGGTGTCTGCTAACCATCCTTCACTTTTAGAGATCCTATTTCAGCGAAGCATTTAATACTGTGCTCCATCATAGCTGGCTTACAGGAGTGTGCTCTCCGATCTAGGAAGTTAACAAGGTTTTTGCTTAGAGCTCAGCGTCGCTGCTTGGCTGAACTTGCACGGTTCGAAGGAGGGGGGGCAGGGAGAGCTCTCCACAAAGAGGGAAATTGCCTAGGAGACAGAGATGGATTGAGGCGGCTATTCCTAAAACACCTGTCACTTGGGTGTAGGGGGCAGGAGGAGCCGCAAGATGTATCATCCCAGTCTTGACATAAATCAGGGTGTTTGCAGCCTAGGCAAGATAAATTGGGAAGAGTTAATGGAGAAATAGCTGAGCAGAAATGGCCCCAGTTGACTTTGTCGGGGCTGAGTTCCAGCGGCCCGTTCCCTTTCCCGCCACAAGAGGGCGGAATGATCCGTCCTGCTGCCTGGTGGAGAGGCCCCCTATTCCTGCATAGGCAACTGAGATGCAGAAAGAATTCTGCTCCCAGAAATTCTCCTTTGCCAACGCCAGGGTTATCTCTGAGTGAATGTCTCTCAGACAAGTGGGACCCGCTGCACAATATAACAGTGTTGAATGCTAAGTTTTAAATTAGCAATAATCATGCCTCAGAGTAACCTCATTGGCTTTTGTTTCAGCCAGGCTCTCTCCCAGCACACTCTGTTCCATCCACCCTCACTCCCATTTTTTTTTAAAAAAACCATTTATTTATGTTCCACCTTTATCTCCCAAGGACACCCCAAGGATATCAAGGTGGTGTACATGGTTCTCCTCCTCCTCCCCATTTCATTTCATCTTCACAACAACCCTGGGAGGTTGGCTTGGCTAAGAGACGGTGACTGGTCCAAGGTCATCTGGTGAGCTTCATGGCTGAGTGGGGCTTTCGAACTCTGCTCTCGAAGCTTCTGTAAATCTGGGACTGTCCCTGGGAAATAGGGACACTTGGAGGGTCTGAGATCTGCACCGTTCTATCCCATTAAAAGCTCGAGCAAACAACTAGAACACCTTCTGTCTGAAACCTGCAAGAGACATCCCTAGAAACTTTTGGTGGCTGACCACTGTCAGAGGCAGGATGCTAAGCTAGGTGGGTCTTTGGACTGCTCTGTTGGAGCTTCATGTCTGTTTCTTCTGACCTGGCCTCTCCTTTACTTACATGTTGTTGTTTTCCAATCCATGCAAACTACCATGCTTTTCCGTTCCCATGTATAAGACTCCCCCTATTTGGGGGGACTCACATTTAAGAAAATGGGGGGAGATGGCACAGAGTTATTGAGCTTTTTTGGGGGGGATTGCCGAGAATCACTCACCCACATGAGTCACAAAATCTGCCTCCCGTCTGTCCTATCGCCAATCGCCCGCCCAACTGCCGGAGCGTCAGCCAATCAACACCACCCATTGATGCAGCAACCAATAACATGCACAATAGCCGCTGACAGCAACCAATCTAACTTCCACCCTATGCACTATCCATGTATAAGATGACCCCCACTTTTTAGCATGATTTTTAGTGAAACAAACATAATATTATATAGTGGCACCTTGGTTAACAACCACAATCTGTTCCGGAGATCCGTTTGTAAACCAAAACAGGTTGTAACCCAAGCTGCGCTTTCGCCAATGGGGCCTCCCAAAAAAAATTGTTCGTAATCAAATAAAAATAAGGTTGGAATCCCAAAAAAAAAGGTTGCAAATCGGGACATGCACTTCCGGGTTTGACGTGTTTGTAATCCAAAATGTATGCAAACCAAGACTTATGCAAACCAAGGAACCACTGTACACAGAAAAGTACGGTATGAATTATCTTCCTTCTGCTGTGGTTCTTCCTCATGCCTTACCTTCTCCTTTTCCCGCAGAGTGAAGAAAAAGAACAAGCCGTTGAACCTCAAGATCCACAACAGCGTCGGGAGCTGTGAGAATATCCCCGCCCAGCGCTCCCCGCTTCTCTCAGAACGCTCCCTACGGTCTTTCTTCGTTGGACACCCGCCTTTCCTCCCTTCCACCCCTCCTGTCCACACGGATGGCACCTTCTCCACTAGTAAGTCAGCCCTGATGTGGGGCTACAGTGGGAGAGGAGGAAGGGGAGTGGGTTGGTAATCATGCCAGAGCACTGAGCATGTATTGCAGGGGGTGGGGCCCAGATAACCCTCTGGGGTCCTTTCCGATCCTACAATTCCGTCGAATTCCATGAGGGTGCCTGGGGACTGGCGAGAGTCTTTCCAAACAGGCCTGGCTTCCAGAACTGGCTTTCACTACACAGGGTGGAATGAAAGTAGCCACGTTTCTAGATAAGAAAGCCGAACCCAAATTTTTGCAATGGTTTGTGTGTTGGTTTAGAGAGCACCCCAAAAGATCGCTGATCAGTCCCTCTAATTCCAGTCCCCGGGCGATAAAGTCTCATTTGTTACGTAGCCAATAAATTGGCTTACTTATTTATTTCATAACATTTCATGCACAGCGAGACCATAACCAAAACGCCCCCCCCAAGGAAACCTCCAAGCTATTTGCAAAAAAAAAATTATATATGATGAGAGCAAGAGTTGAAAACAACTGTTTGAAAGAGTAACACATAAAAATAAGATCGACGATAGCCTAAAAATCGGATTGAAACTTGAATTCAACATTCTGAATGTCCTGATAGGCTTGCTTCAACAAAAATATTTCCAGCAGGGGCTGAAAAGAGCACAGCAAAGGAGCCTGCCCAATGTCAATAGGCAGGGAGTTCCAAAGGTTGGGTGCAGTTTTCATACAAATTCCACCCATTCATGAGAGACTCAGGAGTGTAGTGGCAGACTGAGACAGATGAGGAAGGGGAACAGGAGCATGACATAGAGCAGTGATTCTCAATCTGTGGGTCCCCAGATGTTGTTGGACTACAACTCCCATCATCCCTGAGCTCTGGCCTTGCTAACTAGGGGTGATGGGAGTTGTAGTTCAACAGCATCTGGGGACCCACAGGTTGAGAAAGGCTGACATAGAGGGTGAACAGAGGCTGGAGAAGGCCACTACCTCCCCTTCCCTCGATCTGGCTGCCCCAGCTGGGGAATTGAAACTCCCATCGCCACTCTTCCCCTCCCAAGGAAAGGAGCAGAGTAGTGGAAGCTGGGAAGGGCATCCGTCCATCGCTAGGGGTAGGGGAGGGCACAGTGCAGCATGGTCACCCAGGATGCAAAGAGACACATCGTGGCCCAGTGTCTGCAAGCTTAGTGGTCTCATAAGGCACTAGAGCAGGGGTCTGCAAGATTTATCTCACTCCAGCGGAGATCTGTCCATGGGCCAGATTGCGCTCTCTCTTTGTGATTTCTGGCGTCTGTGTCTGTGCAGATGCAATTTTCGGCGTCTGCGCATGCACAGACACGATTTCCGGCGTCACAGAAGTGAGTCCCCGCGCCACGCTGTGCCGGTTTAGTGCAGCACGCAGGGACTCACTGAGCGGGTGGCTTGGTTCGGGGGTGGCTCATGGACTGGTTAAATGACCCCCGTGGGCTGCTTGTGGCCCATGGGCCTTAGGTTGCCTACCCCTGTACTAGAGTCTCATGAGCAAGCATGCCTTACCATCTTTGTAAGCTTGGTGAGCAGGTGTGGCAACTTATTGGGACGACTTTGTTGCTTCTATGCCATTCTGACCTCCTTGCCATTCTTGGACTCCTTTGACTTGGACTGCTGCATTGATTCCTGCATTGTTGGGGTTTGGACTAGATGACCTTTGGGTTACCTTCAAGCTACACTCTTAGCCCAACTAGCTTTGCCTTTCCTGTCATCAAGCCTGAGTGTAATGGCTGCTGTGACTCATTACCTGTTTCTAAGGGTGGGGGACTTGGGTGGCGCTGTGGTCTAAACCGCTGAGCCTCTTGGGCTTGACAATCGGAAGGTCAGCGGTTCAAATCCCCACGACAGCGTGAGCTCCTGTTGCTCTGTCCCAGCTCCTGCCAACCTAGCAGTTCAAAAGCACACCAGTGCAAATAGAGAAATAGGTACTGCTGTGGCGGGAAGGTAAATGGCGTTTCTGTGTGCTCTGGAACTCATCACAGTGTCCCATTGCACCAGAAGCAGTTTAGTCATACTGGCCTCATGACCCAGAAAGCTTTCTGTGGACAAACGTTGGGTCGCTCGGCCTGAAGTGAGATTAGTGCCGCAACCCATAATCACCTTTGACTGGAATTAACCATCCAGGGGTCCTTGACCTTTACCTTCTAAGGGTGGATCTATGCCCAGGAAAATAACCACTATAAATACGTCAGAAATTAGATCGTTATAACAAAAGGGGAAAAAACCTATGGAAAACCACATAGAAAAATTTTCTGCTCTCTGGTGCCATCTGGTGTTGCATATTCATAATACATTCAAATCGTTGTTCCTGTACTAATGTAGCTGAGTCCCCAGTCTATATCTCTTATCTTTACCTCAACAAAGATTTCTTCCTCAAGGAAGAACCTCTGCTGTTGTGGAGTAGACAGGGAGACACTAGTAGGCTTGGGAAGAACACTGCAGTTTGCAAAAGCACAAAACGTATTTTTAAACACACAACCCCTGGGGAAAAATTACCCCCAGTCTGTTGCCTGACTGTCGGAGGGGGCAAGTTGGAAAACTAGGGGCATGGGAGTAATACAATGGAGTGTTCTGGGAAAGGGCAAAGATGGCCGGCTGGAACAGCAAACTGGAGCACTTGGTGCTGCAACACTCTGTTGTTGGATCCGCTTCTTTATTTAAAATATAAATGATCCTGCCGCATCAGGCCAATGGCCCATCTAGTCCAGCATCCTGTTCTCCCAGTGACCAACCAGAACCAGATGCCTGTTGGAAACCTCTAAGCAGGACCTGAGCACAAGAGCCCTTTCCTATCCTGCAGTTCCAAACAACTGGTATTCAGAAGCATTACTGCCTCTGGTGGTTCAAGTAGAACATAACCACTGTGGTGAGTAGTGGGAAGCCTTCTCCTCCATGAATTGGTCTAAGACAGGGGTCGGCAACCTAAGGCCCAGGGGCCGGATGCAGCCCAATCGCCTTTTAAATCTGGCCTGCGGACGGTCCGGAGTTAGAGCCAGTGTGGTGTAGTGGTTAAGAGTGGTAGACTCGTAATCTGGTGAACCGGGTTCGCTTCCCTGCTCCTCCACCTGCAGCTGCTGGGTGACCTTGGGCTAGTCACACTTCTCTGAAGTCTCTCAGCCTCACTCACCTCACAGAGTGTTTGTTGTGGGGGAGGAAGAGAAAGGAGAATGTTAGTCGCTTTGAGACTCCTTAGGGTAGTGATAAAGCGGGATATCAAATCCAAACTCCTCCTCCTCTTCTTCTTCATCTTCTTCTTCTTCCAGGAATCAGCGTGTTTTTACATGAGTAGAATGTGTCCTTTTATTTAAAATGCATCTCCGGGTTATTTGTGGGGCATAGGAAATCGTTCATTTCCCCCCCAAAATATAGTCTGCCCCCCCCCACATGGTCTGAGGGACGGTGGACCGGTCCATGGCTGAAAAAGGTTGCTGACCCCTGGTCTAACCCTCTCTTAAAACCATATAAGTTAGTGACGACCACTGCCTCCTGTAGGAGCAAGTTCCATAGTTTAACTATGTGCTTTCTTTTATCTGCTCAGAATCTCTCAACTACATCTGTATAGCAGACCTCCAACAATATAATTCTGTCATCCTTTTTTTTTAACTTCTTTTTAAATTACTTTTGTTAGGTTTTCTCGGCTGTGATTTATATCTTTATTTGTTAGCTGTCTTGAGTCTTATCTTATTGTAACAAGGGAGGATATAAATGCTCAGAGAAAGGAAACAACACAATTCCAAGTAGCACTGGGTGAAAGATGACTGAACCGGTAGGTCCCTATTCATAAAACTGGCAGCCATATTCTGGACTAATCCAAACTCCCAAACACTCTTCCTCGCCGGCTCTACATGAATGATGCATTTAAAAAACCACCAAATTAATCTACTGTAACTTGGACATTACAAAAGCATGGAGAACGGTGGCAAGATCAGGCATAAGAACATGGGCTGATGACTCATTTTGTCTATCACCACCATCACTTTTAATTTGTATACCATCTTTCTATCTTACAATACCCAAGGCAGTTTACAAGCTGAAGAGACAAAGAATGTACACCTTATAACTATCTAATGCAATACAAAAATCTGATAATAAAACATAACTTTAAAATCCGCAAGCTACATCAAATAAAGTAACATTCAACATTCATTAGACTAGTATAGAATAATATTAAATATCAGCATATAAAAATTAAACAGAAATCCACTCTTAACAATTACAATCAATCATTTCTAAACTACAATCAATAAAACAACGGCAAGCCACAGTGCATAAAATAATACAATACAAATTGAGAAGCAGAGACTGGAGGGTGGGGCAAGGCAGGTGGAAGGAGGCCTTGCCTGACCCCTCAGCATCTTCATCTCACTGTTTTGTTGTTGTTGTTTAGTCGTTTAGTCATTTAGTCGTGTCCGACTCTTCGTGACCCCATGGACCAGAGCACGCCAGGCACTCCTGTCTTCCACTGCCTCCCGCAGTTTGGTCAAACTCATGCTGGTAGCTTCGAGAACACTGTCCAACCATCTCGTCCTCTGTCGTCCCCTTCTCCTTGTGCCCTCCATCTTTCCCAACATCAGGGTCTTTTCCAGGGAGTCTTCTCTTCTCATGAGGTGGCCAAAGTATTGGAGCCTCAGCTTCACGATCTGTCCTTCCAGTGAGCACTCAGGGCTGATTTCCTTCAGAATAGATAGATTTGATCTTCTTGCAGTCCATGGGACTCTCAAGAGTCTCCTCCAGCACCATAATTCAAAAGCATCAATTCTTCGGCGATCAGCCTTCTTTATGGTCCAGCTCTCACTTCCATACATCACTACTGGGAAAACCATAGCTTTAACTATATGGACCTTTGTTGGCAAGGTGATGTCTCTGCTTTTTAAGATGCTGATGCTGTGTTAAGATGCTGTCACATGTCACTGTGGCCAACGTCAAACAGGAGCACTTGGTGCTGCAACATTCTGTTGCTGAATCCACTTCTTTATTTAAAATATAAAT